TTGGCGAGCATTTCAACTACACAGTCATGACTCACCCACCTTCCCCTCTGCTTACCTGTAGGAGGGTCCTCTTGGTTGGCCATCCTTTAATCTTGATCTGTCTTTGTGTTCAGGTCCAGTGGCAAGAACTGGCAAAAGTGGAATTGGGGGCTTAAATATAAGCTTCTAGCTCCTTGGAGTCCTGGTGTGGCACTGTGGGTAATGCACCAGACTCCAACGCCGTTGGAACTGCAAGGTTAGGCGGTTCTCAACCAGCTGCTCCTTGGAAACCTATACAGGTTCGCTATGGGTCAGAACCAACTCAACAGCACTTAGCAACAACAACCAGCTCTTTGGGGGTGACATAGGTAAGACGTTGGGGTGCTAACCTACAGGATGGCAGTGCAAACCTACCAGCCGCTCCTCAGGACAACAATGAGGTTATCTGCTCCCATGAAGACTTACAGTCTCAGAAATCCTATATAGGTCTGAATCCACGCGATGGCTGTGAGTAGTGGGTTTTATAGCTACTCCCTGGTCCAGCCCTCTGCACCACCTTCTTCTTCTCCATCCACTAATCTCATATGTGGATCTTTCAGAGTCTCTGAGTCAGCCTCTATTAGTACTGTTATTAACTCTTGATGGTAAATTGAGTGCAGATTTACAGAGCAGATCATCAGTTTTACATTCAACAAATCACACACGTCATCTAATCCCATGGTTTGCGATCCCCTCCATGTAACATCATTATCCCAACTCCCTCCCTGGGTTTCTTGTTTCCATTCATCCTTCTTTCCCCATCTTCTGAATTTTGTCCTCAGGTAAGTGATGTCCTTTTGATGGTGAATGGTTGACCGTTTTATGGCGTGCGTACCTCACTCGTGTTGTTGCCACCGCCCCCCCCCCCACATACCTATTATGGCTTGGCAGAAAAATTGAGCCACAAGGTGAATTCCATTCCAGCCCTGAGGGGTGACCAAGGACCATAGTCTCCAGGTTCCACAACTTTTGATCTGACCAGCAAGTCAGAATTTTTAAATTTTTAAAATTTTGAGTGTTGTTCCACATTTTCTCCCACTCTATCCAGGACTTTCTAATGTGATCCCTTTCAGAGCATTTGTGACCCACCCTCAGTTCTATCAGTTTGCTCATATTTACCACTGGGCTAATGAGCTGAAAGGTTGGATGTTTGAAGCTACCCAGGAGCACATTGGAAGAACGAGTCTGCTTCCAAGACAGCCAAGACAACTCTAACGAGCACTCCTGAGAATCATCAACCATTTGAGGGCACAAGGGCAACGCTGACCCCAGGACCACGTACAGAAGGCTTAGGAAAGACGGAGGACTAGAAACAGGAGTTACAGGGAGGGAGTGGGTGAATGATGGTAAATTGTGGGGACTGCAATTTAGAGGGGATAACAAACATGGAGATGAAAGAAAGTGTATGATTTGATGGATGTAGAACTAATGATCTGCTCTGTAAGCCACACAATTTATAACAAAAAAAATTATTTAAAAAAGAAAGGAAGAGAGTAAAAGAGAAAGACCCTCAACGAGATGGATTAATACAGTAACTTCACCAATGGGTTCAAACAACCACTGTTGAGGATGGTGCAGGACTGGGCAGAGCTGCCTGCTGTCGTGTGTAGGACCACTATGAGTTGGGAGCAACTCGAAGACACCTAACAGGAGTTTACCTGAAGGCTGGTGGTTCAAACCCACCCAGCAGAACTACACACACACACAAAAGGACTGGTGATTTACTTTCCTGAAGATCCCAGCCAAGAAAACCCTTGTAACACATGGGATTCCTTGAGTCCGAATGAACTCAAAGGCAATGGGTCAGGTCAGTGGGGTGTGGATGGATGAACACCTCCCACTCACTTCGGAGGAGAACTCATAATCTCAGGTATTTTACAGTCACTGGGTGCAGGATTACTCAGAGAAGGAAAATGTCAATGAAAAGAGGCTATTAAGCTTCAACTATGAATCCCAGTGGGTCTGGGGAATGGTTCACAGGGAGGGAGGGGTAGAAGATGGACTCAGTTTTTAAAGCATTGAGAACAATAAGGAGATTAGAGAGGGATTAAGACATGATAGGATTAAACTTTTGTCTTAGAGTTGAGCCCCACTCAACTGAACTTCACCACTGGACCAATAAACAACATTCTTATCAATGGAGAAAAGATTGAAGTTGTCAAGGACTTCATTCTTCTTGGATCAACAATCAACACTCAAAAAAAAAAAAAAAATCAATACTCAAGGAAATAGCAGTCAAGAGATCAGACAACATATTGCATTGGACAAATCTGATGCACAGGAACTTTTTAAAGTATTGAAGAGCAGAGATGTCAGCTTGAGGACTAGGGTGCGCCTGACCCAAGCCATGGTGTTTTCAATAACCTCATATGGATGAGAAAACTGGACAGTGAATAAGGAAGATCGTAGAATTGATGCTTTGAGTTGTGGTGTTGGAGGAGAATACTGAAAGTGCCATGGACTGCCAAAAGAA